GTCTCCCAGGACCAGGGGAGCCGAGTTTCCCTGAGGGCAGAGAGAGAGAGTCCCTTGGCTTGCCTTCCTGGGACGTGTCACAGGAGTGGCCAATGACATATGTGACTGTCCTCTGATGGAGTCCCTTCCGTCCTCAGTGCCTGCAGACCCTCTCTTCGGGCAGCCACTAGGGAGAAACAGACATCTGGCCATGCAGCCTCCCTGCCACAGCCAAGTTCCTCTATCTCGGTAACGCTGCCCAGCTGGCAGGGGGACACGGCCATAATTTATATCTCCTCTCGACCAGTCCCAAGTCTGAGAAATACTCTCCCTTTGATAGGCCCATCTGGGTTACAGATGTTTGATGCTGGATTCTTCAGGCTCCCTCCTCCTCCGAGCCTTTGGGAGAGAGGAGCTTCTTTGGGCTCGATTTCTGGGTTCTTGCTGGGCTGGGAAAGGCGGGGTGTGGAGTAGGACTTGAGAAATGAGGCGGATGGCTCCTACACCAATCGTTGTAGCTGCATGTTCGTGATCTACCTGTAGGCGCATCCCCCACCTTCCAACCACCCCCCACTGAGCTGTGACCTCCTGAACGGAAGGACTTGGTGCCTGGCACCCTTGGTTTTCTCCAGGAATATCCGGCAAATGTTTGTTGAAGCTGGAGGCCCTTCAGAGTCTCAGCATAATGGAATTGTGAGTTTCGGTTCTGTGATTTAGTTGTAATAACAGGGATGCTGTATGTGGGCGATTTAGTTCAGAGACCATCAAGTCACAGGCCCTCACCGAATGCTAGGCCCATGTCTCCGTGAACCCAGAGCCCGTTCTGATGATCCAAGCTGCGCCCCAGAACCTCAGTCTACACTCCACATTGTTTCAGTGTCTTGGCCTGGATTTAAACCCAGGGAATAAATATACATGAAATAACTAACTCCCTCCACTAGCTGTTAGCACTTACTCTTTGTATTTTTTTTTAATTTGTCCCTCTGCTTAGCTTACTGTATCTGGCACAACATGGGAATAACTGTTTTTCAAAATATGGTACTTGCCAATAAGAGTTATGAAAACACTCAATATTTTTAATAACAAAACTCACCACAATGACTAATGAAAGCAGAGGACGAGGGAGGGAAAAATTCCTTAATGAAATAAATATAAGGGATTCAGGAAAGAGAAAACTCCTCTCCACTATGTTCTGCCTTCAGACTTCTTCCTCCAAAAGAGGAAACTCAGAGATAATTATCCTTGTTAGTTCATCGTAAGTATAAATGTAACAGTGTGCTTCTAACTCTGAACAAGCACTGGACGCTTGAGGAAATAAATCCTCCAACATAAAAGACAGACAGGAATTAAGGGAGGGGGAGGAAAGCTGACTACAGGTTAACCTGGTATAGTGCACCCAAAAAAACCAGAACGGGTCTCATTTTTAGCATCAAACAAGGTTGCATCCTTAAAATAAAAGTAGATTAATACAGAAAGTCAAAGAAGGTCTTAAATATATGATGGCTAAAATAAAAATAATTCAACTGAAGAGTTGGAGGATAAACTCAAGGAACTCGCCAAAAGAAAAAAAATTGAACAAAATAACAGAGATAGACTGTATGAGAGAAAAAAAAACAGAATAAATTCAGCAGATCCATCCTCAGGAGATTCAGGGTAGAACAGAGATCAGAAAAAAATGAGTTTTTAAAAATCAAAGTATTAATCTAATAGAACTTGCCAGAGGTGAAGGACATGAGTGTTGGAACTGAATGCTCAACAAAAAAGAATTAAAGTCCAAAGCTAAAAAATATATGCTGCAATATTCCTAAAAAAACAAGGCTAAGGCTAACATTCTAAATAGTTTTTAAAAGAAAAAGTATTCCACTTCTAAAAAGATATACAATTATCAGAATGGAAGCTAGAGGCAATTAATAAATTTTTGCAAAAGCTTGAACGCTGTTTCACAACCCAAAATTTTACACCAAGACAAGCTATCAGTATTGTGTAAAGGCAAAATAAAAACATGGTGCAAAGTCCATTTTTGAAAAATTACCAAAAACATCGGTTCTTAGAAAGTTACTTAAGGATGTTTTCTAGAGAAACAAGGTAGTAAATTCAGAGATACTCATGCAATTCAGGACACACTGGTTCCAGTCCAAAAAAAAAGAGGTTCCAGGATGAAAACCGTGCAGCAGCACTAAAGATGGAAAGTGGAGAGAAAAGCAGAATGAACGAGAAGGGAGACTTGAAAAGTGTAAAAAAAAAAAAAAAGACATTCTATTTCTACAGATTAGCTCTTATGATAAGACACTCAAAAGCAATTGAGGATATCAAAAAAGAATGAAGGTGGGAAGGAGGAAGGAAGGGAAAGGGTAAGAAGATGGGGCGGGAGGCAGGGAGAGAACAGAGACGCAAGGAGTAGAGAGAGGGAGGGAAAAAGCCATGCCAGGGAAGAACACATAATAACAAAATAATACCTTGTTCTTCAACAACAACAAACAATATTTCATAGTGATGATACTGTAAATGTAACTGATTCAACTAAAAACAGCACAATAACGATGCTGAAAAGAAGGAGGGGAGAAGCAGGGGAAAATGGGAGAGCTCGTCTCATCTTTATCGTGAGAGCAAATCAATGCATAACATTTAAAGTGGATAGATCAAGTCATACAATATTTGGAGGTAATTACTGGAAGAGACAGGTAAAACGACTAAATGTGGGCGCAAGGCTAGAGAGTGGAGAAGGACGGGGGAAGAGTTAAGTAGGGGATTATCATTCTTCTTTACACCTTTTGTTACAATTTGATATTCTTAGCCATGAGCATTTATCACTTTGATTTAAATATTTTTAACCATCAAAAATGTAAGTAGCTCCTTTTATTCCACAAAGCAAGTGTTGCATGTAGGGATGAGAAGGTCCGAGACACTTTTGGGCCCACAGACAGAAAGGGATGAGTTGCCGTGCCAACTGTGGTGGCAAGCGGAGTGAGTCACAAACAGAGGCCCGGATGAGGTCTCTGGCCGCGGGGATTCAGAGAGCAGGGGGCCACACGGAGGAGAATGGTGCCGCTACCATGAAAGACAGCTCGATGGGTCAGGGCAGCGAGTGGGCTGCTGTCAGGAACGAGCAGACGAACGAGAGCAAGCCCGATGTCCCTGTCGTTTTGGAGGTCCTGAGAGTTGGCAACCACTATTACTAGTGAGGTTTAGCTTCTGCTTAAGGCTGTCAACATCTAAAAGCAAAACCCAAACAGAATCTTTCTCATGTGAATAGGTCTGGTAACGTGATCAGTCCCCCACACGCTGTGACGTAAACAAAAGCTTCCCCCATCTGTCAGCTCTGGTGATGATAACAGCAACTGATGTCAGTCAGGTTAGGACTACTTTGGGGCATTGAAAACTTCGGAGTTCCCAAGCACTTTCCTGTGCCTTAGTTCGTCTGACTCACAGAACCACCCTCGGGTGCTGGTAACACAAACACTCCTGCCATCGCCCGCCCTGCACGCACTTGTACGACATCGAATGAGGCAGTGATGCCTCTTGAATTCAGCTGTGACCCCTGATTCCAAACCTTACACTCAGTCCTTGACATCACGTGCCCGGACCACAGGCAAACCTATGAGCTGGTGTTAACTGACTGCCTGCACGTGGGGGCGCCATGAATTACCACACAAACTGTGGCCAACGAACACGAAGGCAGCTGTCTCAGTGCCCGGTGGGAACTGGCATCCAGTCCTCCCGCCTCCCCCGACTCCACAGCTCAGGTGTGAACCTTTTTATAATTTGTACAGAGGTGCCAGTTATGTAATGGGGAGGTCTTGCCCACACACACAAACCAACAAGTTTACCACCCACCTCTCTCCTTCCTTGTCTCCCTCTAATACTCCCCAACCCTCACACAGACCGTCCAATGGAAATCCTCTCATTGGCTTCCGGCCCACGGCAGATACCCCAGACCCACTCATTCATGACGATGAACATGAGATAAACAGTCAGGAGTGTCTGCAGCTGTTCTAGGTCCTTGGGGGCATCAGGGTCAACAAGGGCCCTGGTTTCGTAGAGCTGGGGAAAGGGAAATAAGTGATTGCACAAGAAAAACACCAGAAGTGGTAAGTGTAATAGAGAGAATTACAATTAGTTGATGTAGTAATGACTGATCAGCTGATTTAAACTGGGAGATCAGGAAAGGCCGCTCCAGGAGGTGACATTTAAGTAGATATTGGAATGACGAGAGAAAACCCACCAAGGGAAGTTCAAGAAAAAGAGGATTCTGAGATGAACCAGCTAATGCAAGGCCCTGAGGCAGGAATGGGGGCGGGGGGGAGGGGCGGACAGAAGAGGCCAGGAGGGCTGTGCAGTGAGGGTAGGAGGGTGCAGGGGGAGGGTGCTGGAGGGTAGGCAGGGGCCTGCCTCTGAACCAGGTGAACCACCCTGCATTCTAGTCTAGGCACAGCGGGGGAAAATTTTAAGAAGGGGAACAACAGGATCTGATATACCTCCTACACAGGCTCCTTCTGGATGTTGTGTGGAGAAGGGAACCGAACGGGGCCAGTGAGGAGCCTCCAGTCCTAAAGGAGATGGCGGGAAGGCACACAACGCCTTGTGTCCTTTCACAAAGCAGGTGAACTGCTCAGCCCGCACAGAGACCAAGCACGCGCGAGGCCTCTTCGTGTGACTTCTTGGGAACCCGACGACAGGGGAGTGCCGGATGCCGTCTGCCTTGCTTGCTCCCTGTGACAGCCCCCTGGCTGCTCCTCGTCGGCTGCGCCGTTCAGGTGCCTCGAGCACCCGGGGCGTGCCTTCAGGAGCACTTCACGCCACACACACAGCTGCCCGTGAGGGCTGGCCCTTGTCCCAGCCATCTCTGCGTCCCTAGCTGCTCATCGCAACACCTACCACTTCGCAAAAGCACAGTCATGTCCGGAGGGCGGACGTACATTGCTGTGTGAACCCCCTTTCAGTCTCCAGAAGCCAAAAAGGTAGAAAGAGGCCGGACACGCGCCTCACCCGCAGGACGCCCCATGCCCCGGCCGGCCCCTTACCTCTTGGGCGAGTCAGGGTCGAAGCAGGTCTTGAGCACGTCGGCCCCCGGGGGGTCGCAGCAGTCCCCGTCGTCGAAGTCGTTCAGCATGTTGTTGCACTCCACGTGGCACAGCCCGTCCCTGCGGTTCCAGGAGTAGCACCGGCCCTGCAGGCGGCAGTCGCCCCCGTCGTAGCCCGTGAGCGGGTGCTCACACTCGGGGTCGCAGTGGTCGTTGCCGATCTTGCTGGGCTCGCAGTTGACCAGCACGACGCGGCGGCGCAGGGTGGCGTTGTGCACCCGGCGGACGCTCAGCTGCCAGGTGATGTTGTAGCGGCCGAAGGCTTCCTGCAGCGCCTCGTGCTGCCGGCGGATCTGCGCGTCGCTCACGGTGGGGCTCAGGCCGTCGTCGTCACAGATGTTCACCACCTGGTAGCGGATCACCTTCTCCCCTCGCAGGGGCCAGTGCCCGTTGTACTGGGAGATCAGCTCCACGTTGTCGCACGCCGTCTGCCCGCAAGGCGGGGGCTGCAGCGGTGACAGAAGCTCGGGCTCCGGCTCGACGCCCTGGAGAACCTCAAGCCGCGGGTACTTGTCGTCTCTGAAGGGGACCCACTGTTCTTCCAGCGGCTCAAAAGTGGCCGTCAGCATCAGGGCGGTCAGCTCGTCGGCCCCGCTGGGGTGCTGAGGACTGTGCTGGAGGTGGCTTTGGGAGAGGGCCGTCGACCAGAAGGCCAGTGTGCCCACGTGCCCGCGGAAATGATGCCCACTTTCAGAGCCATCCCCCCCTAGGAGCAAAGAACGGCAGGACGCCATGAACGGGCTGTTCAGGGGACCGGACTGGTCCAGACTGCTGGCCACCCGGGTGCCATCCACATATAGGGCCATCCGCCGTCCGTCGTAAGTGGCTGCCACGTGCGTCCACGTGCCTGGTTGGTAGCGACTGTGGCCAGTGACGATGGTGGCCCTCTTCACGCGGTCGGTGCGAAGGGAGAAGAAGAAGCGGGCGTCTCGCCTTCCCGAGTCCTTCCCCGAGCGGATCCCCAGGGCCCAGCCCTTGTCGCTGCCAGTGTGGGAGCAGTTATCGAACACACCTGGGAAAGGAGGAGGGATCGAGGGGAGAAACGCCAGGCACAAAGGGGGGCGGAGACAGGGAGAAGAAAACCCATGTGAATAACACGCACGTAGGTTTGTAATGGGAAAAAATTAAGCGGTACGAATTCCCCGCCCGAGACGCCTGTCCAGTACCCTTATCACGCCGTTCTGGCAAACCTGTCCCTGACGTGAGGGTCCATCACACTGAGCTCACTTTGGTAGTTTTATGCGAATGTTGCTTATGCTGACGCTAATCCATGCCTTCTCTTCCTGGCCCTTGTCCCCTTCCTTGCCCTCGAAGCCACAGGGACAGTCATAGTTTTTACAAAAGATAATAACCTCCTGTCCCCTCAAAAAGTCATTTTCTCTGCTGAATACTGAAATGATGGTTCTCCTGGGGAGGACAAGGAGCTGATGAATCGGAGAGTCCCGTCAGAGAGCAAGTAACGGCCCAGATGCCATTCCCAGCCCACTGTTCCCTCCAGTGGCCGTCTGAGGCCAAGGACACCCGTCCACAAAGAACAGTAGTCCCCCGGAGTGGGCAAAACGGCACTGCCCCACGGCCCTGGCCTGCAAACTCAGTCAAGTCAATTGTAACAATGACCACTTTATAACCCCTGATGCCCACCGCGGTGCAGAGCTGAACTTGCCCAGACAGATGAACACGCTCGCTGCCCACTCCCTTACCCCCTTGCTCGACGCAGGCACGAGACTTTCACGTCCAACTGAGTAAACAGAGCAAGGAGCGCCTGGAGATAATTAGATCATTAATAACTTGGCAATGGGAAAGAGCAGTTTAGACGCAACGTGACCGCAGGTCGAAAGGGAACCTGCAGGTGGTCTGGAGGCCTTCAGTGTCCCCACCTATGGCTGTGAGCCCACCTCCGCCCCCAGGGATCTCTTCGAATGCACAGGTCCCTTCCCCTCATCTGGAGGGCGCGAATGGAGAACGATTCGATTCTCCTCTCCCGTGAGACTGAACAGCCCCGTCTGCAGCTGGGCTGGACTGCAGTCTGCTCAGACAGACCCAGATTTAGCCACGAATGGAATCTACAACCACGAGGCTCCAAGGTCCACCCCTCACGGGAGGGAAGGGAGAAGCCTGCTTGGTCACTCGAAGGGCCGTTGTTCTACTAAACCACACAGGGTTCGCATTCCACCTCCCTGTCACGCTCCTCCTGGAAAAAGGAATTCCACTTGGAATCAGTGAATTCAGTTCCCCCAACATTTACTGACCCACCCGACATGGACACTCCTCCGGTCTTTGCCCTTGAGAAGTCTCGGGGGGAGGTAAGAAACACAGAAGGTCACTTCCATGTAAAGTCAGAACTCAGGTCAACAGAGACATAGGTGAGGGAGAACACAGCCGAATCTCAACACACAAACCAGAGGGGACTCTGGGAGGGGACGAGACCCAAACCTACTCTTGAAGAGTGTATAAGAGCTGGCCAGGCAGAAGAATGACAGAGGACCATTACCCACAGTGGGGACAGTAGGGACAAAGGTCCCTGGGGTAAAAGAAGTCAAGGTAGTTTTTATAGAACATAGTAGGCAGCTTGGGCTGTCTCACAGATGAAACACATGGAGGTTTTCGTGCTCCCACCAAATGTTTCTGATATCCCGAGAGCACGCAGCATAACTGTAGCATGAAACACCCATGGTTGCTGGCCGTGTCCTGCATGCGTGGTCCAACTCAATTAAAACATCTGAGGAGCTTTCCAAAGCTTGCAGATGGCCAGCTGTGGCACGAGAGACACGTGAACCACCCAGGAGGACCCACACGCTGGTTCAGCGGATACTTATGAAGCAGCACCCGCTGCCAACCTCCGCACTGGGTGCTGGGGGCTTCTCCAGTGACCCAGCGTTTGTTTGGTGTCATGGGAAGTTCGGTGCCATGCAGGAGACTCAGCCTAATACGTAACTACAATGAAACATGCTCGCTGTTCGAAGCATAAGCCTCTTTATTACAATAGGAACATAATGTGGCAGGAATTCTCCCTAAAGGGAATAAGTGTCAAGGGTCCAGCACTGAGCCATCCCCTCAGCCATGTGATTCCTAGAAAACATACGCCATCCAAACCTGCCCACGACGCTAAGGCTGCCTTGTTTCCCAGTGGGACGGCTGTCTGGGAAGGTCGGGGGGGCCTGAACCCCAAGCGTTCCAAGCGGTGAGTTTAGACAATCCCAGGTCAGAGGTGCTGCCAGGTCACCCAGAGACACTGCTATAATATATCTTACGACCCATGTTTATACAAAATACCCACTTCAGCTGACTCTTCTAAACTGGGACATGGTGTTCTCTTTATAAATATTTCTTCCTTCACTTCTTAGCACGGAATGGTATCTCCCCTGTATACAGTACTTGAGCTTTCCACAGCAACCTTGTCTAAACTATCATGCAAGCAGCAAGCCATCCTCTGAGCTGGGCGCGATGAGCACCGCCAGCCTCATCACACAGATGACGGCACCAAGGCTCGGAGAGGTCTGCTGTCAGGCTGGGTGCAGCGAGAACCGAGGTGCCGGCACTGGGAGCCCAGGAAATGTGTCTGTGGTGGGAATGACACCGTGCGTGGTGGCTACAAGTAGGACTCAGCCAGAAGCTCCAGTCCCCAGTCCACCACTGACACGCTGGGGGACCTGGGAAAAGTTATATCCTCTTGCTGAGCCTCGGTTTACTCACTTGTAGATCGTACCTGTAAATGAAACTTGTCCCTCACTGGTCTGCTCTTCAGCATCCTTCAACCATAAGCTGCGATCCCAGACCTACCTCATGAGGTTGCTGTGAAAGACCTCAGCACAGGGCCTGCGTGACACTAGGCGACTGAGCGACATTGACCCCGATGCCGAGCGGGCACGTGAGAGCGAAGTATCAAAGGGAAAAGCAAATGAAATGGAAAGCCAGTGTTATGCTGCTTCATGTTTGACGACGAGTCCTCTGAAGAGAAACAAACTGGTCCTGATCTGCAGCATTTGCCAAGTTCTGTGGCATAAATAGTACCCCACGGGTCAATTTTAAGATGCCCACATGATGTCGCTGACGTGGGGTTTGGGAGAGACGGGCATCGTCGGCGCTGGCGAGCTGGTCTGAGCCAGTCCCGCCACCACGAAGACTCACGAGGAAAGCAGCTGTCAGTGACGGAGCATCTCCTTCCCCCTCTGACTGCTGAGGTTCTCGTGGCTGCTTTGCTGGGGATCCGATTTTTTATCATTTAAAAGAGGTTCAACGTGACTTCAAAATTTAGCATAAAGCTACAGTAATCAAGATGGTATAGTACATAAAACATTGACAAATAGATCATTGAAACAGAACAGAGAGCCCATAAATAGCCCCCATAAATACAGTCCACTGAACTTTGACCAGGAGCAAAGGCGACACAGTAGAGCAAAGATAGTTTCTTCAACAAATGGTGCTGGAGCAACTGCACATTCACATGCAGAAAAAAAAGAAAAGAAAAAAAATCTAGACACAGATCTTATATAAGGTCTGTCTGGAAAAAGTCCAGCCATTGTTAATATAACAAGAACTGGTTTGCACAACATTGATGTAACCTGGCAGCCAAGGAGAGTGGACTGGAATGCGTATGCGTGTGAACAAGGATGACTTCACTGTACTAGTCAGTGGGGGCAGTAGACACATTGAGTGAACATGTGTACTGTGTGGCCGTCACATTCAAAATGACTGAGTGAGTAGAGCAATGAATCTGCATCAATTTTTGGATTAAGCTTGAACATTGCTCCACAGAAACTATTCAGATGATTCAGAAGGCTGCAGCTGTGGGCAACCGGTGATTGGCAGCTTCATCAGAACAACACATCTGCTCATGCCTCATATCTCACGCAGAGTTTTTTGGTGAAACATCGAATCACCCAGATGACTCAGCCCCTCTATAGCCCAGATTTGGTGCAGACTTCTGGCTTTTCCCAAAACTAAAATCACCTTTGAAAGGGAAGAGATTTCAGATGGTCAGTGAGATCCAGGAAAATACAATGGGGCAGCTGACAGCAACTGGGAGAACCGTGTGAGGTCCCAAGATGCCTACTTTAAAGGGGACTGAGGTGTCATGGTCCTATGTACAATGTTTCTTATATTTTGTATCTTCTTCAATAAATGTCTCTATTCATCATACTGCATGGCTCGATACTTTCTGGACAGACCTCGTGCATTATACTAGCATTAGCTCAAAATAGATCATCAACTTCAATGTGAAATGTAAAACTATAAAACTCCTAGAGGACAACATAGGAGAAAATGTAGATGACCTTGGAGGTGGTTATTCCTGTTTAGATAAAACAGCAACACAATCTATAAGGGACAGAATGTATAAGCTGGACTTCATTAAAATTAAAAACTTCTCTGCTAAAGACAATATCAAGAGAACTAGAAGATAAGCCACGGGCTGGGAGAAAACACTTGCACAAAACACACCTGACAGAGGACCGTCATCCAAAATACACGAAGAACTCTTAGAACTTAACAATCAGGGGGAAAAAAAGACCCAATTTTAAAGTGGGCCAAAGACGCTAACAGATATCTCACCAAAGGAGACAGACAGGTGGCCAGTTGGCACATGAAAAGATGCTCCACGTCAGATGTCATCAGGGAGATCCGAGATGAAAGAGCAATGAGACACCACTCCACACCTAAGAGAATGGCGGAGACCCAGAACACTGATAACACCAGATGCTGGTGAGGATGTGGGCCACGGGAATTCCCTTTCACCGTGGGTGGGGATGCAAACTGGTCCCGTCATGTTGGAAGACAGTTTGACAGTTTAAAAAAAAAACAACTAAAAAACTAAACCTCCTCATACCATATGATCCAGCAGTCACACTCCTTAGTGTTTACCCAAAGGAGGTGAAAACTCTATCCATGCACATACCTGCCCACACACATTCGTAGCAGCTCATTCACAAGTGCCAGATCTTGTGGTGGGTAGGTGACCCGTGCTCCATCCAGACAATGGAATATGACAGTGCTAGAGTCAAATGAGCCATCGAG